ATCAGGATGGGAGTGTCAGAGACAGTGTGATTGGCACAGGACAGAGCAGAGTTTAGGGCTGTTGTACATAGGGTCGCTATGAGTTGCAAGCGACTCGACGGCACATAACAACAACAACAACAACATTTAACATAAAAAGATCAACCTTATTACGCATCAGTTATAAAAAAAATAAACCATTTTCAGCACCATAATAGACGGAGAAGAGATTGAGACTGTTAACAATTTTAGAGCTTGCTCGGCTCCACAGTCAACACTCAACACTCGTAGTCAGGAAATCTAAGGACGAATTGCAGTGGGAAAATTTGCTGTCAGGGCCTCTCCAGAGTACTGAAAAGCAACAATGTCAGTCTAGAGACTAAGGTGCACCAGATTCAGGGCATGGCCTTCACAATTACTTGCTGTGCATCAGAGAGCTGGACAATGACTACGGATATAGAGAAGGGTTGATGCCTTTGAGTTATGATGCTGGAGAAGGGCCTTGAACATACCATGAACTGTCAAAAAAACAAGTAGGTTCATCTTGGAGATGGTGAAACCAAGTTTCTCTTGGAGACTAGGATTTTGAAGCTCTGTCTCACCTAATTTGGGCATGTGGCCAGGAGGGAGTGATCCTTGGAGAAGGACATCATGTTTGGCAGGGTGGAGGGGCAGCATAAGAGAGGAGAGCTCAGATGAAGTGGATTGAAACAGTAACTGGGGTAATAGGGGTAGGTGTGTCAGAGTCAGTGAGACTGGCTCTGGACAGGTCAGGCTTCAGAGCTGTTGTACATAGGGTCACTATGAGTCACAGGCCACTCAATGGCACATAACAGCAGCAACAACAACATAATGAGAATTAAAAATTCAGTTTAATGACTTAATCATCATGTTTAACTTATTAAAATAATCTGAGAAATCTATCATCTATCTATCTATCTATCTATCTATCTATCTATCTATCTATCTATCTCTCACTGTTTTCACTAAGTACAAAGTTGCTTCAAACCTTCATGTTTTTGTTTGTTTTTCTGCCTGATACAAACTCTTTACTGATTAACTTATTTATAATTTAAAATTTAACTGAGATATTATTTTCTACAAACTGTTTCCTTGATCTTTACTTAAGGTTAGTTGTTTCTTAAATTCATTAGAGAAAAGCTAGGAAGAACTCTAGAAGTCCTAATCCGTAGCATGAGCAGTTTTCAAAGCAAAATGAAAAACCTACAATCAGGAGAGAATAAAATAGATGAATGGGAGCTTCTAAGAATCAAATCTCTATG